TGTTGCTGAATTATACAGTACAAACTTAACTAATCATCGACTCTAATCGTTAGTATATTTATCTATATGTATACCCGAACAGCATGACTAGCCAGAGACCCATTGGGCTCTGCAATCAGTTTAGTTATAGAAAACTTTCCGTATTAAAAAGTTGTTTTACTTGCTCTATGGCTAAAGTCCATTCTTGACTCATGCTGCAAGTTTTGATAGTGCCTTTGATTGCAATGGATATGTTTCCATATATCATCCACTATGAGGTTATTCCTTTCATTTGCCATTACTCATTCATTTGTTGTCCATTTGGAATCGAAAGGCAGCTTTAATTACACATTTCCAGCTGTGCCACCTGCCCGACTCTGCAGCTTGTCTTATGCAGCGAGCCACGTTGATGTAGATGTGGCATAAGAACTGCGAATGCAACTGCAGCAGAAATCGTTGGGGTTGACGTCTACGACTACAACTCGACTTCAGTCTGGCCACAAAAGGTTGCATGCGACATGCGGCATGCGGCATAGGAAGTGCGTTCTGCAAGTGACGCACTTTCTCCCACTCCATTGCTGTCCAAAAATATACAAATACATCATTTTGGCTCACCTGACTAAGCAACTAAGAGATCAAGCATGATGCGTATATATAAAATATCAAAAATAATGATATAAATATACAGATTTCATTTCATTTTGGACATGTTTATGTCTTTCATAAGCTCATTCATTTCTAAATTATGTAAATATAAACTATGTTAATTTATGTATAAATATTTTCATTTTCCGCAGAGTTGTCTACAGACTTTGCTTAAATATTTAAAGTGAAGACAGATTTCCTGTAATTTTAAAATATATAAGTATAAAATATAATTATGTAAATGTAGTTAATTTAGATATAAATATTTCCGTTTGCTAAAATATTTTTTAAAAATATAAAATATACATAATTATGGAAATATAAACAAAGTTAATTTATACATAAATATTTTAATTTTCCGAAAATTTGTCTAAATTGTCTAAGCTAATACAGATTTCCTTTAATTTCAGTCTCAATAAAGAAGGTCACTCATATGTGAAAAGTGAGCTAGAAAGAGACAGACATATATTATGATATTAAACTTCGCACAGTGGGTCCCTTACACTTTTTACGTGACAAAAATCATTATGCTTTAAATCAAGCAAGTTGTATAACATAAATTTCAACTCAAAATGAGAAATTAGCTTTAAGATTGTATTTGATGAATCCAAGCACAGAGCGATCCTTTAACAGGGTGCATCACAATTGACATGCCGGACATGAAATAGCAAATTTTGGTCAAATACTACGTGCTTCAATAGCAAAACATATGTAAATGAATTAATTTTTGTCTCTTGTTTAATGTCACAAAAAAATATAAATAAAAATATAAGTTTTGTTCCCCCCTGGAATGGGCACTGTTCTGTTTTCTGTCCGGTTTTGCCCCACTGTGCGCCGGCCGGGGTTAGACGTCAAGCCAGCTGCTGGAGAAAATGTCAATTGTCCAGGCGACATTTGGGTCGATGCGAATTATGAAAATTGATTGATGCTAATTGGCCAATGGGAGAGGAGAGCTGTCTGTATGCTGGAAATCTGTGTGAGATTTCGCAATCAAAATCAAGAGCAAGCGCACAGTTAGCAGTAGTTGGCCATGTTAAAGTCGCATCAAGCGATAATCTGCTGCGTCAAGCAGTCTCCAGCATGTGCAGTGCTCACTTTATTACTGATGCAACAATCACAACAAGCAGAGCTAAACATAACTCATATCTCGTGATACTTTATGCTGTTGTGTTATGTCTGCCCTGGCTCAACCACTTGCACTCTCTCCCGTTCTCTCTCTCTCTCTGTCTCTCTCTCTGTCTCTGTTTACAGTGGTTTTAGCCAGTGTTTGCAGCAGGCTTTCCGGGGGCAAGCTGTGGCCCAACTTTGCATGCTGCAACAAAATGTGCGGAAAGCGCCGTCCAATTTGCTGACTAACATAAAAAGTGCATACGCTGGCATCACAAACAAACCGCCTACCCCCACACGTCTGACCCCCTGCTCCCCTGGCATAGCACACGCCTCCTCTGTGGCATCTGTACCCACTTGACCATGCCCCTGGTGCGGTTGCAAATGCTGTAAATCTCAGAATGAGAGCTAGAAAGTTGCAGCTCCACACACACACACACACACACACAGACACACACACACGCATACATTCTTGTTTGGGGGACTAAACATGTGTGTGTGTGCGTGTGTGTGTGTGTCTATGTGTAAGTCACAGTTATCCTGCCATTTTTACTGGCTGCGCCTCCTGGGAATTACCTTGGTTACTGTTTCAACATTTTTATCTGCCCCGAAAAATGAGACAGCGCCGGAGAAATGTAAAAACTGTGAACCTGCCCAAGGGTAGGTGCGCGAGGCAAAGGTAAAGCTAGAAGGCGAGCATTACACATACACACATACATATATATGTGTATATATTTATCTATATATGTATGTGTGTGTGTGTATGTGTGTTGCTAGGTTCACGAGTGCGTTTGTGCATAAATCCCAATTTAATCCATCCGGCTTTTAGTTTGTACATACATATACATATACATATATTTTTCGTCTCGAATCGTCTGGATTTCCCATCTTTATTTTTCTTGTTCTTGTTTGTCAGATTCCTAAACACAATCGAAATACCTTTTTATGCTGATTCACAAAAGTGAAATGAGTATATTGGTTTTGTGCACATGTCCGTACGACTAGAGAATTTGAAATATATATACCCGCATATACCCTTGAATTATTTTTCCAGCAGCTCAAAATTTACTATTGATATCCTCCATTGATTTGCAGCAGTAATATATGTATATACGAATTGGGGGCGTGGCAAATCGAAAAATATATCCAAAAGAGTTTTGGTCTTGCATGAGTATTATGCAGTTACTTGGTGTATATTGAATATATATGCAGAGATAGAGAGATCTACATATATACACATATAAAATATATAGGGAAGGACTGAAAGGCCTTTTTAAACAGTGTATCACAATGTAAGTTCTGTTCTATTTTGTTCTCCTGCAACTCAATTCAATTCAATTCAATGGCCCAACTGACCGAACAATTGTTTAGTTTTTTGTTCAAGCGTTTTTTTGTGATTCTTTTTCTTGTTTCTCTGTTTTTTTTTTTCGACTTTATGTTTGTGAAAACTGTTGTAAAATTAATTCTTCTTTTGTAAAATAATTGATCATACATATATGGTCAATCGATCTAAATTTGTTTTTGTTTTCATTCAATCAATAGAGCTCAATGCACTGGTCATATACCTTATATGATCGCGGATCCTTCATTTTGGCCTGTTACAAACGATGCCACGATACCCATTATAAATAATGTATTCAATACCCTTCTGCTAGAATTTATTGCAAATCGAATGTCGGCGAGTGATGCAACTGGAGGCAGCGAAACCCAGATTACAATTTGTAGAAGGTAGCGGATATACGGGTGGATATCCATAGCGATGTGTGGCAAACTAGGCAATAAAGGTGCAAGAGGAACCGAACAAACGATGCGAACGAACAAAGAAAGCGACAGAATCCGTGCCCAGGTACGAAACAATTTAACACATGCGGCAGCTCATTCTGTTGCCACCTCGTCTCGTGGCACAATTACCGTTTCTACCTGGCAGACGGACGAGCGAGCAAGTAGTAGTAGTAGTAGTGCTCTACCTGCATACACTATTACGGGAGAGAGAGAGAGGGAGATCGCGAGCGAGGTGTGGCAGAGCAGGATGAAGGGAGAAAGTGGGAGAGCGTGTGTGGTAGAGGCAGAGATAAAACTGAAATATTTAATTATATATTTCTCATATTTTTATATGATTTGGTTTTTACTAAGATCCCGTTATTCCATCATCTGGACAGAGCCAGGTATAATCGGCAAAGTGTGTATGAGTGTGTGTGTGTGTGGCAGAGAAATTGCAGCAAAACACTTCAGGAGAAGAAGAAGCAATGAAAACATTGATGACAGTAATATATACTTTTGCAATTGTATACAAATGTTTCACAGTGTGTGTGTGTGTGTGTGTATGTTACATAATATACAAGAAATAGAACTACAGATCAATAACTACAGAACTTGAATGCATTGTTTGTTTTGTTAAGTAAAGCTTGAAACAATAATATTAGCATTGCCAAGCCGTATGGGGGATATAATTACAAGAAATATTTTTCTTTATATAAATATGTATATATGTATATACATATATATATTATATAAATATGTATATATGTATATACATATATATATGCATTAAAGAGTATTTTTAATAAATGTTGTTTTATTTTGTAATTATTTCCATTTCTTCTAGATTTTAAGAATTGATTCATGTGGTGTAATTAATAAATTATTTAATTTTCATTATTATATTAAAAAATATAGTGCGATTTCATTTGTTTATACAATACTTAAAATTATTACCAATTTTCTATTATATAATTTAGCTTATTTATTGCTCTATTCAAAAAATTAAAAACATAATTAGCTCCAACTAGATGTAATTATTAAATTTTTATACTATTTTATATTAACATAAAAGGTACTAATTTACTAATAATTATTGTAACCAAGATTGTTTTTTAATTTTCTCTATAAAATGTGCTGCTCCATGAATACATAATTGATGCACTGTAAGTACTTGTCTATAAACTAATTCATGTTTGTATATGTAAGTAAAAGTGTAATTTATTTCAACTATGTATAGAGCACTCCCTTAAAAAAAAGTTAAAATTGAAAATAATCGCACTGAAGCTTTCCATGCACGCTTCAACAAGTCTTTATTGGGGTGCCCATAGTGAAAGTTCTTTTTTTTTTTTGTCTGTTTAGTTATGTTTTTTTTTTTTTTTTTTTTTTTTGTTTTTATGCTGCGACATGTAACGACGCACGACGACGTTGAACATGTCCGTTCATGTCCGTACATGTCTATGCGTGCATTGCACAAGCCTCCACCCCCTTTTGCAGCAAATCAAACTTACCGAGCAACAATTTCTCGTTAGTCCAGTTGTCGTTAATGCTTTTGTTGTTGTTTTTGTATGTCGGTGTTCAACTTTTAATTAGTTCTAGATATTTTGTTTGGTGCAACACTTGAAACAACACAAAACAAAAAATCAAATGATATTCGTATACGTATTTGCAGAGCTTGCGAATTTTTTAACGGCCATGCACTTATTTATCTCTTTCTTTCTCTTTTTTCTGTGTTGAGTTAACGACGATGATTATGATGAAAGCGTGGCCGGTTTCCGTTAAATTTCCGAACTGGAAAACTCACTCGCGACTCGCCACGCACAAAACTCGCGCACTCGTCAAGGGATCGCAGCGAACTGGCGGCACGACAAAAAAGAAATAATGAATATAACCGAACCATACGAAAAGAAACAGAAGAAACACCTGCACTCATGCACAAACTTGTAAATGCTGCAGCGCATGCGTCGCTGTATGTGTGCGTGAGTGGTTGCGCATGTGTGTGAGTGTTTGTGCGGCGACTGCTGGCTGTGACGGCATGCAAAGACTTGCAACAAATTGTAGGTGTATTTGTGTGTGATGTTGCAACGGCGCAACCGTTTAATTAAACAACGTGCCAATGTATATCTTTTTCATTTGCTTTCAGATACTGCTCACAAAACAACAGAATATTCACTCAATAGATGCAAAAAAAAAGTATAAACAAAAATTTAACGAAGTTTAAACAAAAACACAGGTCAACGAGCGACAACGCGAAGCACTGACTCTTGTAGAAAACCCAAACTGACGATCGTGTGGCCCTCACTGAGAAGCCGTAGAATCCCAACAAAAATACTAGATACGTGCGATGTTCAAATATTTATCGATCCTGTGCAGTCGGTTAAAATACACCAAGTATATTTCACAGAAATACTAAGACACGAAGCTTAACACATCTTTAATAAGTTAATATGCCCTACCAAATCATATTAGCGTTGGTAAATTCAACAATTGCATGTACAAGTGCAATTAACAGAATTAGAATTTACATTTTATTAACTAGTGTGGGCACACTGCGCTGAATACCATACGATAATTATTTTAATTTTGAGTCGCCTGTTAGTTCATTTCTCTCTGAATTCTTATCTAGCGTTATAAGTGCAGTGAAAATTATTTATTCACGTGCGCCAGCTATGAAACTTAATTGTTTAATGTTCAAATCAATATAGCCTAAATAAACTTGAGCTTTGGCGCAAAATTGCGCAAAGCAGCGCGCCATTTATTTCGTATTTTGGCGCAAGAATCCGAAGTGCGTAAATCAGCTGTTCTAATAAAGATATATATCGATAAGAACCGATGTGCCAGATGCGTGAGCTATCGAATACATAAATTTCGTTACGGTATGAAATTAAAAAAAAAAATAGACAAATGTTTTTTCCTGTTCAATTTAAACGAATACTACAAAAAATAACGAGCCCACTGCCAAAAAAGATCCGACCTAATGTGCCTTTTCTCTTTATAATTATTGTATATCGATAGCGGCGTTGCCTGCAGTTGCACTAGCGCAAACGTGCTTGGCGCGCATTCAAAATATATTTTCGTCGTTTTTGGGTTTGTTTATTTTTATGTGCTTCTTACTTGGATTTCTTATACAATTTAACAACAACAAATATATATAAACAAAAAAAAATAAAACAAATGATAAAAAAAATTGCGCTAATGCCTATCATTGTAATAGAAATGATAAGCTTAAGTTTAATTATAAAATACGTATATATCAAAAATTAGTATAATATGGTTATTATGTTAAGGCAAATTTGTTTTGTTTTGAAAAAGTGCATGCTTTTCAAATGGTATCAGACATTTTGGATTTGCATCATAAAGTATTTAGAGTTTTCGAGTAAATTGCTTACATTGTATATATATAAATGTATACATATATATAGTTGTGTATATAAGTGTGCGTTTTTTCAAGGAGTTAAGATTTGTATTGTGTATATATAAAAAAAAAAGCTTAGCTGTTGCTTCTTGATATATTGTTGTGTGTTAATTTGATTGCTTAGACATATGACAGTAAAAAATGTTCTCAGTTAGTTATCAGGAATACATCCACAATTTGACACGATTTCCATAGGTGCTTTTTTGTAGGCCATTAGATTTGTATTGCAACAGGTTAAACCCCACCCATCCCGCGCCCTTCCGCTCCACAGGATATTTGCTCCTAATTCTAAGTATACATATGTGTTAATATAGGGCTGTTATTTTCTTTTGTTCCATTTTGATTTCCGTTGAACTAACCCAAGCAAAATCAATAATCAACAAATCATATAAAATTCATAAATCGTCCGCAAAGGTCAAAAGCTACGGTCCCCACAGCTACACAGCACTACACGGCACAACACTACACTACACCACACACTACATCCATACTATACCACACCCACTAACACACATACAGACACGACACGCACGCATATGCACATTGCACACCGTTTGCTTTGCCTCAGTGGGGATGGGCCGCAACTGTCGCTGGGCCCGGCAGCTGATCCCGTGGATGGCCACGCCTCTGCTGTGTGCTGGCTATGCGTTTCTTTAGCATTTGGAATGTTTGCTGCATGTTGGTCATTTGGTAGCGTATGGACGTGCTGACGTCACGCTGCAGTTGCTGCACCTCCTGTATGTCCTTGCGCAGGTTCTGGTACTCGTTCTTCACCTCGGTCATCGACTCGAGCAGCTCCATTACCTCCATTTCGTCCATCTGCTCCATGGCCGTCTGGTCCAGGCTGCGCTCCACGGCGTGCAGCTTGTGGGCCATCGTGTACAGCTGGCTGCCAGCATTGGCCACCTACAAATTATTCATTTTGCACGTTTATATGTACTATATAAAAATATATAATTTTTTCTGTGATATTTTTCCTTTTTATTTTACCGATTTTTCGAGTGCGCTTATATCCTGATAGCCCGACATCTCCATATTGCAGTGCTATTGTTCTTCTCGCATGCTTTCTTCACCAAATAAAGGCAACAACAACAACAGTGAAACAGTGAAACGAAAATAAATAAACTAATTGTCAATTCGGCTGCAAAGCAGCTCAAATTATAATCCCAAATTATGCGTTGCCTATTTACGGGCGCCGACTGCGCGCGACTGCCCTGCGAACGAGCTTTGGCGGCGTTTCTCTGAAGCGAAGCAGCCAATCTTAGTGAATCCAGCGGCTCGCTCGGCTATTTATACACACGAGCATGCACACTCTCCCGCACACACACACACACACACACACGCACAAGCACTCAAAAGGGCAGGCAGCAAACGAGCACACACACACGCACACACATGAACAGACAGCCATGCTGTTTCGCTTCCGCATCCCTACCAAACGAGGGAAGACAACCAACGAAACAAGCAGCGATGTAGTCGAAGCGTGCATACCCTAAGTGCAGCAAAAAATGAGAGTAATATAAAGAAATGTGTCAATGAAAGATATATCTGTGCTGATCCATCAATAAAAACTCTTCTCTCTTTAATTATTTAAGCTTTTTAAAGCATAAAGCATAAAAGCATATTATATATTATGCGCGGTAATATTTATATACTAAATAATAAATTCCCGAAAAAACACTAAAAAAAATAAATATCAACTAAACACAACTACACACATAAATTTTTTTTGTAGTATACATATAAACGTTATAAAATTTCCCTTTAAAAATAATGAAATAAGTATACTACATTGATATCCCTAATAACACATATCAAATATGTCATCTTTTATGTATAGGGTATACATCCAAGCTTATTCTATGACAAACATACATTACGTTACATAAACTTCCCTAAACACGTAAATTGGATATTTCTAATTCGTTTTCGTATAGGCCGACGTTTAGATATACCCTACAAAAATGAAGTATAAATATCATATTTATGTGTTCAGGGAAGCTAATCTATTATACACGTACGTTGATATACCACTTTATATCTTAATGAATGTATCACAAAAATATCATAAAAAACAAAGATATTTCCCCTAAGATTTTTATACGCCCTACACAATATATACAAACTAAAATTTCCCCATCTATGTTTGATGAATCACCTATAGAATCGAGCTCGATCATACCCCATACGCCCTGTCATGAGCAATGCAAATTCACCACCAGCAGCAATCTGTCTGTCTGTCCATCTGTCCGCCTCTCTGCTCGCTTGTGTGAATGTGCGTTTTTCCGGTGAATGGCAACTTTGACCAGCGAAAGTATTTTAATTATGAGGCCATGTGTGCACATGCGGACCAGGAAGCGGAAGCTTGCTGAGACTTGCCTTTGAGCCGATAGAAATTATGTATTAGGCTAAGCTGTGTGCTTAACGTCAACGTTTTCATTTTTAATTTTCCATTTCATTTTCACTCAATTTCTCTAGCGTTTTTATAACTTTTATGTATACACTTATAGCTGATTTTATTTGGTTCTTTTTTTTTTTTGAGCAGATTAGAAGATAAAAAATGGGTGATCACGGGGGCGGTGCGGATAAGGAGGTGGATGAGGATTCCGACATCTTGCCGCGCTTCAAAGGCTTGCCGAATATCGTCGAGGGTGTAGAGGATATCTTCTCGCATTTGCAGAAGCGACACGTCTATCTATATCCAGAAAATGGCACCCACAAGAAATGGGTGCAGCCGCAAATTATGGTTCTGTTCGCGACCGGAAATCTGAGTCAAGTTGTTGATACGGTCATAAGGGATCTGAAGCATCCGATTGGCATCGGGCTGGTGACCAGCGTACTGGTGCAGGAGCCACTGCGTCAGGCAATTGTTCGAAGACTCCGTAATCGCATGGAATTAATGGACGAGCGCATAGAAAATCATCCAAATTTTCAGAATACCCTCAAGGTGATAGACCGACTCAATTGCAGAACTCTTTTTATGGAAGAATATGATCCAGCTGACAAGCAGAGGCTAAGTGGTGTTAGACAGCCGAATTCGCCAATTATCGTTCTAGATTTCCCCCAAATCTATTTTGGCGATAAGCCCACGGCCATTGTAACGCTAAATACCTTTCGGACTCTCAGCGAAGCGATCAAACTGTGCAATCGCGAGGGCCTTCAGTTCGATACGGTTTCGATTTGGACCAACAAGCTATCGGAGGGCTATGATATGGTCCCGGCGCTATCAAGGTTCCCAAATTTTCGATTCAATTGTATCAATGTACCGTTCGACTCCAAGGTTATGGTAGCGGTACGAAGGAATTACCATTACGAAGTTCTGGCAAATGGCGGAGACTTAACGACCATAGTATTTCCCATACGTCACTACTCCCACTAGTCCCAAGTCGAATATATAATTATATATTCTTTGTTTGTTCATTTGCTTAGGGCTAATGTTAAATTCAAAAATATATCAAAGAGGTTAAAAAAAATAGAATATTTTGGTATTTTTTGTAGCTCACAGTCGATACGTGCTATCGATAGCTGTGTGGTGTGGAAGTGTGAGGAATCGATATATTGTGGGCAGCAGTATTGCCAGCTCTAGATCCATCCGCAACTTGGAAATAAATAAAATAAATGTTAATGAAGTGCAAATGTTGTTAAAATTTGATTAGTTTACTAACGAAATGATTTGTCGCTTGTGCTTGAACCCATTGAACGAGCAGAACACCGTGCTGCTCTTCACTGGCGGCGACAACGAGGCATCTAACAGCGACAACAAGACAATACCGGAAAACTATTTGGTTCAATTGATATCAACGCATTTATATCTATGCGTAAGTCGATCTCAGTGTGTCGAGCACACGATTGCCCGCGCCTTGAGCTGAGTCCTGCTCTGACACTGTTTTCCTATTGTTTTCTCATTCAGCTGTCTCGCGACGATGCCATTTCCACATCCATTTGCACGGATTGCCGTGCGCAACTGGAGAGTTTTCACAACTTCTGGAAGCTGGTGGAGCATAAGCAAACGACGCTTTGCAGCCAGTTCTTGGAGATTGACTGCGACGTCAATTGGTCCGAGGAGGGAGATGCTGACCAGCAGCAGATGCAGCACCCGTTATCCATAGTCGATTACGAGCAGGACGCCGACCCAGACATTGAGCAGGAGGCGGGCGGCGATGACACGCCAGCAGTTTACGATGTCAAAGATGAAACCGAATTTCACGAATCTTACCTTAAGGTCGACCCCAAGGCAGCAGCTGCGGCCCACAAGTTTCCCTGCATGTTTTGTGACAAGTCCTTCAAGATGCGCCGTTATCTCGAGGAGCACGTGGCCACGCATACGGGCGATCGTCCCATTGCATGCGCCTACTGCAACATGGCGTTTCGCTGTCGATCCAACATGTACACGCATGTGAAGACCAAACACAACACCCAGTGGCAAAAAGCGCGCGCCGACCGCGAATCGGCCAAGATCAACAGCAACAACAATATTCAAATCCAGCGAACCACCAATGGGGAAAACAGCGAAAAGTTAATGGACGCGCTCAACGTGCCGCCCACTGAGCTCAAGCCGACAGTCAAATTAGAAACTCAGGATGCCACTGCAGCCCCAGCTCCAACTCCAACCCCAGCTCCAGCTCCAGCTGCCATAGCAGCACCACAGCCACAGCAGCCACCGTCAGCGCCGCTGGTGCCACCCAGCGTTGCTGCCATCAAGTGCGAGCCAATGGAAGCAATCAATTTGACGATGGCCAAGGCGCCGACGTGTCCATTGCCAGCCGCCAAACGGGTGACCCGCTCCAGCCGCCGCAAGACGCATCTGCCCAAGAAGGTGGAGCATACGACGCGCACCGGTAGCGTCAGCGAGGACAGCAGCAACGAGGAAGTGCCGCCCGATCTTCGTGAGAAGCGCTTGAAGACGACCGAACTGCAGACGTGCAAGGAGAACGAACTGCTGCTGGCCAACTACAATGCAGTGGCCGCTGTGGTGGCGGCTGCCACGCAGCAACAGCAGCAGCTGTGCGCCACAATTATTCAGCAGCATCATCAGGAGCAACTGCTGACGGCGATGGCAGCGGTCACCAGCACTAGCTCTGCAGCAGCAGCATCAACAGCAACGTTAAATAGTCAAAGCAGGTGGGTAATCCTTTGCTAATCCAACAACAAAGCAACAAAATTGAACTGTTCTTCATTCACTTGCAGCACGTCAGTTGCTGTGGCGCCCGCTTCCTGCTCCCTGCCAGCCGCTGAGCCCTACACCTGTAGCATCTGTGGCCAGCAGCTGCGCAATCAGCGCGCGCTCAAAAATCACCTGCACAACAAGCACAATGCGATGCCAGCACCGATAGCAACAGCAACAGCAATAACAACAGGAACAGGAACTCCGACGCAGACACAGACCCAGTCAACCACTTCGACATCGCCCGGTCCTAGCCAGGCGGCGCCGAGCATCTGTGCCAATTGCGGCGAGCTGCCTGGCCAGAATCATCGCTGCCTGAGCAAAGCCAAATACGCCTGCAACGTGTGCGGCAAGTCATTCAAAATGAAGCGCTATCTGGAGGTGGGCAGCATTTACAAAATCTTCATTATAATTATTTCGATTTCAACTGTATTTGTATTTGCATTTGTATTGCCGTTGCAGGAACACTTTGCCACACACACGGGCGTCAAGCTGCACACCTGCGCCTTCTGCCCCACAGAGTTTCGCTCCAAGTCGAATATGTATCATCACACCAAGCGCAAGCACAAAACCGAATGGGAGCGTTCGCGTGCCACACGCAATGCAGCCAAGTCGACGGCGAGCAGTGAGCAGCAGCAACAGCAGGAGCCGGAGCAACAGGATGAGACAGTCACAACGGCGAATTCCTAGTGTGAGCAGCGCGCGGGATTATGTTAAGCAAGCCAGCGCTGTCTCTCTCTATATATATCTCTCTCTACACACGTATATATATAGATCATATATATATATATTCAATAGTTACTTATATTAGCATGTCTTGACATACGTACGAACTCAATGTATTTTGGGCTGGCATCGAGTGTTTGCCATTGTATATATCTCCTTATATAGGATTACTTTAAAAGCGCCCCTCCGTTTATGCCTTACCAACTGCTTAATACCTCCCTATTGAGTTTTCCCAAAAGCCACACGCATATATATATATATGTATATATTTATGCATATATATATGCGACGTACAATTCAAGAAACATTTATGTTAATATGTTTTCACATTGTATAAATTCAATTCTCATTTATAAATTTTAGAGGTGTGTGTGTGTATGTATGCGATTGTGTGTGTGTGTATAAACCCTTTCTTGCACTTAAATGTTATTTAATTTATTATGATTATATTTTAATGTAATTATTTTTGTTTTGCACAAATTGTAAACTAAATTTACACGATACTCAAATATTGTTTTTGTTTTTATTTAATTTTTCACTTTTATGCGTTTATTTTAAACCCAGTTTGGATGAAATAAGTATGAACTTCAATTGGAAATTCATTTCTTTACAATTTTTCTCGCTATCTCTATCTCTGTCTCTCTAGTTTATTTGTTATACTCTTTATACAACTACTACAGAAGGAAGAGGAAGATGTTGATGATAATGATTTAATGATGAATGAGAAAGAACCACGACGATTTAGAGTAAACCTCTAGTATTAAAAAACATGTAATAAAAAATGTTCTATAACGCAATCTACCTTAATGTATATATTGTATGTAGCTCCCGCTCTCTTTCTCACTCACACTTGTAATTGCAATGCGCTCGCGCGCTTTCTCTCTCTATCCTCATTCTCTCTCTCTCTCTCTCTCTGTCTTTATCGTACGTTTTACTCACACTGCGCCCAAACTTAAGCTAAATTCTAGGTATAGAATAGTTTGTAAATTTCTCTCTGGTTATTGTTGTTGTTTTGAGGGGAAAATGGAATATTCCCGGCAATCAGGACTTCGGCCTGTGTGTGATTTCTCAATCACTGAGATTGAATTGGATGTAAATATGTATGTGCTAGCTGCTGCTTGGAGTATATAAATATAGTTTGAACTTCTCTGCGGTACTGGCAATTGGCGGATTCATTGCGTCCTTCACTTGGCACTGATCAGTCGCCCGCATGACATGTCCGTGGAGGGCACCGAGAAGACGAAGGAGAGACAGCCGAAACGCAGGAGACTGCCGTGGGCCAGCACAGCGGAGCCCTCCCAGGCGCCAGGAACCATGGGCACCGGTGGGGCGGTTTGGCAGCGGCAGGCGTGTTTCATGATAGGAGCCAGCCTTAAATTGGAGAATAGATAAATGTAATAAAATATAATTGGCACCGACACTATAAATATATTCTGACTTCTTACAAGCTTTTTCCTACATTTATCGATAACTTGCAGCGATTTGAATATTCAAAATCAAACGGCATCATTGATTATGTGCTAATGACACTTATCGTCGGTTCTTTGTAATCGATATCACGCCAAAAGTACTTGCAAAAATTGTATTGTATAACTGTTAAGCTATCGATCATTTTTCAAAGGAATTGCGAATCGAGTGCGGCAGATCAATTTTAATTGGAATTTCTATTGCGCAGATTAAGTTAGAGTTTAAACGTTTTGGAATATCAAGGACAGACCACTTACCTCTCGTGCGTCTCCCGTTTGGGTTCGCTGTACTGACGCTGAATGTGCCGCCGTTTGTCAAGCAGATCGTCGACGCGACGCTTCAGCTCCGCATCATCCGGGCGCATCCGTTTGCCAGCATGCGTCGGCGCGTATTCGGTTAAATCGCACGTGTACAGCTGACCATTGACCTCGGTGCCGAACTCGGAGTAGTTGATCAGCTCGTATGACTTGGTGAACTCATCGTAGAAGATGATTGCGTGCTGCGGCGAGATGCGCGAGCAATAGCCAATCGCGGATAGATCCACTGTCTCCGTATGAGCCAGCGTCGTCGAGGGCGTGTAGTGGCCGCCATAGCCGATATACAGGGTGCGGTAACGCATGAAAATTGACTGCTCCAGGCCGAGAGTGTTGAACCAGCGACTATCCTCGAGCATGTCGCCCAGTGGCGTGAGGACCGCCCGCGCCCGCACCTTGCACTGCAACAGCTTCAGTTCCAGCCGCGTGGCCAGCTCGTATGCCTTCTCGGTGTCACTGCGCTCGCGCGGCACATAGCTCTCAGCTGCCGTATCTGCCGCAGCGATGGCAGCGGCTGTTGCCAGCGCCGGATGCAGCGCCATCATCGGATCCTCGTCGGCGGCATTGCCGTTCTTCTGGGCGAGAATCGAGGAGGTTTCGCTGGTGAATAGCAATGAGAAGCGACGCATATCCTCGGGTGCCAGATCGCCCTGAAGCGCTATGCTCTGGTCCGCCGGCTGCACGACCGCCGAGAGCTGTCGCAAACGTCGTGCTGCCGTCCGATTCTTATACTGTGTCACGATCTCTGGATGCTCCTGGACCAGTTGCTGCAGGCGCTGATGGGCCAGCTTCTTGATTAGATCCACATCCAGATGGCACAGATCCGCATCGATGACGACATTCGCCTTGCACTCCTCCTCGTCCTCCTCATAACTGAGCTCCATGCTCTCGCCGTGGCCCTGACCATGGCAACTATTGGATAGCTTCGGCTCATCTCCGGTTGTCTCCTTCTGCACATTGTTTGCTTTTAGACTATCTGCAGCTCGCTCATCCGTGACTTCCATCTTGGGCGTTTCCACCAGCCCGTTACTCTCCTGCTGTTGCGGTTGTTGCTGCTGCTGCTCGGTGACGCTCTCCATGTCGCTGTCGCTGAGGCTGCCATCGAGTGGAGTGCGGCCCAGTTCCTTCTGGATTTCCCGGAACTTGGCACGCGCACAGCGCAAGGCCTCCAGATCCTTGAGCAGCGACTCGGTCACACTCTCTCGGGAGATTTCCTCCACGGCAGTGGGCAACTGTTTGCGCCGCTTCACGCGATCGTAGCGCAGCGTTTGCCTCATCGACGGCAGCAGAGCCGGCGGATGCTCGTAGTGGTAACGCACGATGGCCGGCACATCGATGTGGGCGCGGCCGCGCATCGCCAGCTTCAGACGGAATGGCGGATTGCGCGTGTTCACGCGCCTGAAGAACTCCATCTTAACGTTTTCGTGATCGAGCGGCTGATGAAAGCGATTCCACAGGCGGACGCGCTCCGTGGCCGAAATGCTGTTCGTCATGTTGGCGTCCTGATGGGAGAGAGCAATCGAAGTAAAAACTCTGATCTAAACAACTGAAAAAAAAGCACTTACAATGAAATTCTCTACATGATTAGGGCACATCCAGAGGCCGGCGGGCAGTGCGGTCAGTGGCGGATCCAGGCAATCCTGATGATAATACAGCGGGCAATAGTCGCACGAGATGAGCGGCGCTCGCTTGCAGCTGCGCGTGCAATAAAAGCACGTCTTGGCCGGCAGTGGCACCAGACCCTGTGCATCCAGTTCGAATGGCTTGGAATTGCGTCGCTGATTGCTGGGCTTGCGATGCCCGTTGCCTGTGCCGGTGTGTGGCTGCTGCACCGGCTGCACTTTGCCATTGCCCGGGAACTGGGTGTGCAGCTCCAGCTCAGGTGGCAGCGAGAATTGCTGCGGATTCAGCATGCTGGCGGCGCGAATTACATCGTCCAGTGGCGTCGGCTTTCGGTTTGGATCCAGCGCACGCTGTATGGCCAGCGGCATTTTCGAGAGCAACTTCTCGGTACTATTTCGTTCACTATTGCTGCGCTTGCGTAAATTACGAATTTTCAGCGGAATGGACTCCAACTCTCCCGAGGATGGGGTATTCGCGCGGGATCCGCTGCCTCCCGAGGGCACACGTTCCACGGAGCTGGCCTTTGACGAGGACGTTGGCTGTGAAACTTTGGCCATACGACAGCTATGGCACAGCCACTGTCCACTGGGTATGTCCTCCTCGTTCAGTGGAGGATCACTGAATGGTGCACAGCACAATATATTACACATATTGAAAGTCACTTTGAATTTCAGGATACTCACTGGCATTGCAAATGGAAGCTGGATGGACAACGGTCGCAGCAGAGCAAATTGCCGCCCTCCTCGCAGGCGTCGCACAAGTCGTGGTTATGTCCGCGTCCTGGTCGTCTATAATATGGATGCTTCGTGTTCGTGGTGCGCTGTATCATTTTCTCTTCCTCATTGGGCGGCGGTTTGATCAAAATCTTAATTTGCTATAGAAAAACATATTTTCACCAAGAATCAATTAATTTTAATTAGTTTTCTCCGATATTGAATGTAATCTGTCCAATCTGCAATCCGTTCGACAGGAGTGACGGCACGACTGTCATCCATTTTGAAGACTTTTGACAGTTGGGTACCCACCTCCATTATGCTTAGCGAACCATTTGGGTCCTGGTCGGCTTTTGACATCTTTATTAAATTTTTCGTTACCAAGATTTTGTTAGCTTGGAAGAGCTGAAACCAAAACCAATCACAGCGTTGCATTCATGGCTTGTTGGGCCGTTCCCATCCTATCGATATATATCGCCACACGTTTCGCGTGTGCGCCCTGTCCTTGCAGCGGTAGACAATGCGTCTCAATATCCGATTCACCATGGACGAACAGTCGCTAGTCCTTATTGGCCAACTCTGCGCTTGTTTATGGTTAGCGCTGTTAAAATAATTTATGACAATTCAATTAAAATTCTTTGCTTTTTCCAACAGTTGAAAAAATAAATAGAGTCCTATAAAATTAAATAAATATATGACAATTTGTTTTTTTAATTATACATATAAATTATATATGTATACATATATGTATATTTGTATATGTTAATATATTTACAAATAAATAATTTAACAATATATGTATGTATTTTCATTTTGATAAATGTCTTTTAATCAACTTCTAGTAGACAAGCCCATTGTCAATGAATGTTATTAATATGTATCTATATTCGCTTGAACGTTATTTGCATATTAAACACAAATGTTAATTAAAGTTGCATTCTGCATTTAGGCGCGAGATTACCGTTGCATAAACATTTTCGATAAGCACTATATCGCTCCGTGCAGCGACTGGAGATTGTAATCGATAACGATATTCACCTTTGTCAACACAATAACAAAACGCAGCTGCTGTGGTCATAACTGCGTAAATATTGGAATTTGTAATACAGCTGCTGGTAAAAACAAAGCGGAAAATGTTTTCACTGTTCGGCAAGCGTAAGCCAGCCGAAACTCCTACCGAGGAGGCGATTCAGGGTCCAGCGGATGGACCCAAGCAGAACAACGGCGATGATTTCATATTTGTGGAGCGCAAACCTGAGTCAGATCCGAGCACCGCGCCTGGCGCTGGCATGATGTACCCACCCATACCGCAGTCAGCGTACGGCCCGATGCCCTATCCTCCGCCGCTGGCGCCGCGAAGTGCTGTTGGACCCAATCTCAGTGCGCCCATTAGTTATCTGCAGGACATTCCCTTTGAGCTGTCGCCGCAATTGGCCACCAAGGATCGATTCAACTACACACAGACGCAAGTGGATGGTATTCTGGCATTGATGACGCGTCAACTATCCGTCGATGCCATGGCCGAGGAGTACACATTCGCCCTGGAGCGTTCAGTGCAAAATGAACCCTACTAAAAGGGCGACCATGGGAACCTAATGCTAATTAGATGTATATATCTAAATATAAATATAAATATATACATACATATATTTATTTGTAAAGTAATTTTTAGATTCGTGGCATTAGAAATTGTATTTTTAAGTAACAGAAGGCATAAACAACTAACTAAAACCTAAACTCGTTATTTGTATTATTTTTGGGTTTCCCCCACTCCATTTTAGAGCTTTCGTGCGCTCTCCAACAGATGGCGACACCTGTGACAGCTCCAAATTTGATTTACTTCCTTTCGCAGTTGGCTTTGACTTTCTGGCTGGATGTGGGACTACAATGCTCAGTTCAGTCAATAGTCATTCCATGTTCAACAGTGTAACAGTAAATTGCCAGTTCCACCTACATATATTGTAAAACAAAATATTTTTTTTCTTCGAATTCAATAGTTTTTGCTCACATTTTTTTTCTCGCGTTTTTTTTTTTTCGACAAAATTCTGCGTATATTTAAATTAAACGGAAGTATTCAATAAAAAAGAAGAGGAAAAGGAGGACATAAATTATGGCCAGCTCAAATGTATCTGATTGGGATGAGGCGCTGCCTTCATCGACACCGGAGGAGGCCGAGGAGGAGGATACAGACTACTGCAGCCCGGAGAATCGCAAGAAACGGCAGGAGGAGAATGTCTCCAAGCTGCAGTCGTATGTGCGCCGCATGGCCTACCAGCCAGCGTTGCCGCCCAAGGCTCGAGCTTACGACGTGGCCCTATCGAAGCCCAAAAAGTTAACGCTCATGGACAACTATGAGCAATTCAAGGAAGTCTACGATCCCAAATTGAGGGCCAAGCGCATCAAGCGCATGCTGGGCAAATATAATGCCATTACCACAGAGTAAGTTGAGCTCCAGCTGCTGATCTCTCCGTTCCCATTCGTTCCATCGATGCTAAACTATCCATCGATTGCAGGCAGCTCGAGGATGTGCTAAAGAGTACCAAGAACAAGGAGCGCCGCAAGGAGGACTTCCTCAAGCGCAAACAGGAACTGTACTACAATATGCTAACCAAAATGGAGCGCCAGTGTCGCTCACAATATCTGAATGTGCTGATCAAGAAGTTTGCGAAATTCATTGCCCATTTGGCGACAACAATGCGCATACCGCCGCAGCTGGTCGATCCGTACGCTCGGATGCAACGCGGCATATTCTGCAACATATTGCTGGCGATTGGCGTGCAGCCCACATCGCAGTCGGCGATCTACTACACCAGCCAAGACGCCATTGAGTACGATGTGTGCCATCGTTTGGCCCATGCGCTGCTCAGCTTGATTATCAAGGCGCTGGATACGGCGGCCACACGCGAGCCCAATGAGGCACCGAAACCGTCCGTGGAACTTGACTTCAAGATGGACAACTATATCAAGGAGCGTCTCATGTGCGCCGCCAAGAAGAAGATCAGAAACGAGCAGCGTCGCAAGCGGCCAACGACGTTGAATTTGAATGCGTTCCAGAAATGCTCTCGCCTCGACTGCGAATAGCTCCGGACTGCGGACACGACGCGGACACGACTCGGACTCAGCAGCATCGGGATCTTTATTCCGTCCACCATCTGCTGTAATTCATATTCCGCATTCGAAGCGCAGCGAGCTTCTCAATTCTTTAATGCATTTCATACATCGATTCTCTCATATATTTTGTTAGTACTGATTCGGGATCATTTATCCCCTCAAATATAATTATATTTGTAATTGCATGTGGCTTATTGTCCTGGTAATAGTCATGGGGCAATTGTGATGCACAGCCACTTCTCTGGCACCTCGAAGCTGTCTGGGGGATTGGCGCTGTATGCTTCGCAGCACGGCACATGCCAGACGTTGCCCACCTTGTGTGCGCTCAGCCGATAGCGAATGGGCTCCTTGACAATTATCTGGCCCGTCTGCGTCTGCGTGACCAGTGAATATTGGTGTTCCTGCTGCCAGCGCCGGAAGATGGCCTTCAGCTCGGTGCCCAGCAGATGAGCGTGGGCACGCATCAAGTCGCGCGAGAAGAAGTCCGTGTCCTGGCCGCTGCGCAATGTGGCGTACAACAGGAATGGATCATCGTGGGTGCTGCAAGAGAATGAATATATCAATACATAAATATATATGAGGAGACCATTAGCTGCCCACTCACAGATTGCTGGTAAAGAAGACGCTTGCATTGCTCTGTATGTACTGCATGGCGGGTTTGGACCAGTTGCGCATGTGCTGGCGACCCAGCACCAGGACGCGCTTGCGCCGCTCCTTAAAGTAGCGCACCACGGTGGCCAGCAGCTTGGCCAGCTGCGCGGGCGGTTTCTTGGTACCGGTGGAGTAAGCGACGTTGAGGCCATCGATGACACAGTCATAGGGCGCCGTCTTCTCCACATACTGCTTGAAGCGCTGCAGCTCCTCCGGCGTCGTCTTCTGGAACACATCGTTACGAATCAGCACCTTCTGTAGAAAAGATTCACGGAGCTCCGTAAACTGTGCATCGCTTATGGCCACATGCTGCAGGTTCTGCTGGCAGTTTGAGCACTTGCCAAACCGTTCCAGCCGCGTTGTAGAAACCTGCAGCCGCTGCGGCAACCGCTGGGCCAGTGCCAAGAGCTGCTGCGCCACCAGCTCGCTGATCAGGATGTCGTGAAGCTCGAGAAAGCAGAACAGCCGCTCCAATTGGACACTCAGTGTCCGCTCATCCTTAGCACTGTGGGCCAAAAGCGACAGAAAGATCTCACATTTGGGCATCTTGCGCGCTTGGACCATCTCGTCGAGCAGACGCCAGCCTAGCTCTAGCTGATCCGCGCTAAAGGCCTTGGCTATCAGCGCGCTGTAGGCGGACACACTCGGCGTACTGGTCAGGCGCATCATGTCCAGCAAGGGCAGAGCGCGATCCCAGTGATGGGTGGTGGCCACTAGACCTAGGATTAAGTTCTCACAACTGCTGGCATCCAAGACATCGTGGGCGTTTTGCAGCGTATCACAGATTTCCACAATTTCCGACTGCTCCGCCTCGCTGAGCTCGCGTGTGTGGTAGGCGGCATTGTAGACTCGCAGCAGACGTCCCATTGTCGCCGCATTCGGCTTGATGCCCTGCGTTTTCAAATGCTCGACAAAGCTCTTGGCCACCGGCAGCTGCTCGGCTTTGCTGCAGAGGCCCAGTATGATGGCATCGACGTTGGTGCCATTCACGTGCCTGTAGCTCTCAGTTAGTGTACTCCGCACGTGCTGCCAGTCCTCATTGCTCAGCGCGCATTGCCGTTCAAAATATTCGCTCTTGAGGCGGTCCAGCTGATCCGAAGGTAGCGCGCCGAGCTGCGGCCGTCGCTTGTGTTGGCCAGCTAAGAGGCGGCATGGCGGTAGAGGGGCTAATGATGTTCCAGAGTTCTGTAGGACTAGACTATAGCGCAATTGACGCAACAAACGTAAATTGTACATAATTCAGTTTGTTATCAGTTTGCACCTGTTGCCGGTACGGCAATCGAGAAAGCTTATCGATACGCATTATCGGATCATTCATCGCGATTCTGATTTCTTTAAACTTTTATTAATTTCACAATAAAATTTGTTTTTTTTTTTTTTTTTTTTTTTTTTTTTTTTTTTGCAGTCTCTTAAATATGAGCCTAGCGTGGATCACATCTATTTAATATTACATACATATATTCGATACACAATGCTGACTCATATATCGAAAAATATTGCTATTAAGTTAGTGGTGACACAAATTTGCTTCATGCCAGTCGATAAGCCTTGGTATGTTTGTCTACAATATCAATGGTAGATTCACAGCTCACTTAGTGGGAAGCGGAGCAAAATAAATAAATATATTTTATAATAATAACAATATCAAATTAGT